TTGAGAATAGACTTGGAGTGCACATGCAGAAAACGGAATTCAAGTGGGTCTGATTTTTTTTTTATTATTATTGGATGGCAAAGCAAAGGTTTTTTTTATTTTTCTTTTAATTTTATTGACACACATCTACATTTAAGTGGAACTTTAGGGGGGAACCTCAGGAGAATTTGAGTGCCTGTTCTTCTAACTCTAAATTTTCTATATGCTTCAGCCTTATCCTCAGTATCAGGAACCCAGTCTAATTATCACTTACGCAAAGATGTAAGTCTTTATCAGGTGTGGAAGAAGTTTCAAGTCTTTCTTGAATATTTTCAGGAGAACTATTTCTTTGTACAGAGTTGTTAGGTTCTTACTTGACTTACTGTATGTTGTTTGGATCTGCTGTTATTACCACAATTTCTGTTTTTGTTTTGGTTAAGCTGTTTGTTATAATTAGAGGTGATGACTTCTATTTTATAGGACTAGAAAAGTCACAATGAACTTTATATTCACCCAGCCCAACTTCCTCATTAATGTCTGAATTTCTACAAGTTAGCCTCTACTTAAAATGCATTTGGTGATGGGGATCTTACTGTCAATACTTTTACGTTCTAAATCCTGTGAGCAGCGTGGACTATTAGGAAGTCTTTTCTCCCAGTGGATGAACAGCTGTCTCTCCATGGCTTTGCCCACTACCCATTTAACTGGGGAGTGGAGAGGGAGGAGAGCAATTCCTTTGTCTTGAAAGGAGACAATACAGATTGATTGTTGGGCAAATGACTTGCTCAGGCCTAGGGCCTGCGCCTTTGGCACTTCCTTGCTTCACTTGCTTCAGCTTCTGACTTGAACAACAAACCTGGGGCTGGGTTCTGAACTTACTGCCAGAAATTGCATGAGCAGGGGTGAAGTCGGACAGTCCTTCCTCATAAGGACTTCACCCGGCTTCATTCCAGGGTGTAGGGTAAAGAAAATATCAGGCTTTTCTGCCCTCCCGCCATCAGGATAGATGATGGATCCTTGTCCTGAATGCATGCCTGATGGCGGGCACCTGGAATAGGGTGTGGGCATAGGTAGATGGGATTCAGCTGAGTTAAGACTGTGCTTTTAAGGGCGGCGTCACGGGGGGACGCCAGCAGCACCAGCAGCAGCACCAGCACCAGCAGCAGCAGCAGCCGCAGCCGAGAAGCAGCAGAACGAACGCTAGAGAGCCCAGATAGAGTGAGGACTTGCTGGGGGCTGGGAGGCCTGCCAGCCTCCCAGCCCCCCAGCCAGCACCCCTGCCTGCCATATGCCTGGTGAACCCCAAATAAAAACCTGCAAAACTACTGAGGACTCTGACTCCTCCTTTACCCGGTCTGCATGGGATCAGAAAACCTGCACTGTGCTCAGTCCTGCCCCTTACAATTGGCGTAAGTCGGCAAGATCCATGCAGACGGGTATTGGAGCCCTCCAAAGACCTGGAGGGACTAAGGAGTAAAAGACTGCCTGTGACGACGCTGGAGGCGCCATGGCGGTAGAAGATGGATACGTCCACGAACTACAGGATGAGACCTGGCGTGAAGGAGATGCCCGAAAGGACCAGCCAACGACACCGGAAAGGACCAGCCACCAACACCGGAAAGGACCAGCCAATAACCCCTGAGGCAGCAGGCCATTGCTGACGCAGGGAGAGGCCAATGGACATGGACTGATAAACCTGGACTGACAATCCTGCCAGAAAGCGGAGGACCTTGGCAGGTTATGTTTTTTTTTGAGAATCTGGGGGTGGCCAGTGGGCCTAGATGGCCAAAAGCAGCCTGTGCATGCCCAGCAGCCAGGTGGAGGAGAAAAGCCAACTAAGAAAGCAAAAGCTGGTACTGATGATAAGTTGAGAAGCCCTGAGTGGCCGTTAAGCAGCCTGGGTATGCTGAAGACCTGTGAGTCTCGTAAAATCACCTGTGGGTGATGCCCTGCTCATTCTTGAGTGAGGGTGAGGAGCTGAGGAGCCCGTCCTTGGGGGACGGGTGGGGAATGTGGCTTGGGGTGGAGCCCAAGCCAAATGCAAAGTTTGGATCCCCAACCCATGTGCTTGTGCAGTGGGTTGGCTTGAGAGCAGGGGTCTGTGAGTCGCATGGGTGGCCATGAAGGCCGAGTGTTGGAGCGACTGCAGACAGAAACCCTGAGGGTTGGTGATTACCCCCAACAGAATAAAATTGCCAATCCCAGAGCTAGTGCATCCTGGGGGTGGATGCTGTGTGCCTTGTAGCCTAGACGACAGCCAGAGAAAGCCAGGAAGCCTGACGGCTCCTGGTGTGTTATAGCAGATGCCGTGTGTGATTTCCCCTCCCTCGTATGAGCAGTGCCTTCGGCAGCAGATTTGGTGGCTCATCTGCTGGTACCAATAATTGTCTTTTGCGCTAGGTTGGGGCCTGCCTGGACTTATTTGTGTTCTGTTGTATTTTGTTATATTGTATTTTATATTTGATGTATTTGTTTTTGTGGGCTATGGCTGCATTGTTTGCTTAGAAAATTGTATATATGTGTATAGACTGTATGGCAGAAAACCCTGAGGGGGTGGACTGTAGGGTAAAGAAAATATCAGGCTTTTCTGCCCTCCCGCCATCAGGATAGATGATGGATCCTTGTCCTGAATGCATGCCTGATGGCGGGCACCTGGAATAGGGTGTGGGCATAGGTAGATGGGATTCAGCTGAGTTAAGACTGTGCTTTTAAGGGCGGCGTCACGGGGGGACGCCAGCAGCACCAGCAGCAGCACCAGCAGCAGCAGCAGCCGCAGCCGAGAAGCAGCAGAACGAACGCTAGAGAGCCCAGATAGAGTGAGGACTTGCTGGGGGCTGGGAGGCCTGCCAGCCTCCCAGCCCCCCAGCCAGCACCCCTGCCTGCCATATGCCTGGTGAACCCAAATAAAAAACCTGCAAAACTACTGAGGACTCTGACTCCTCCTTTACCCGATCTGCATGGGATCAGAAAACCTGCACTGTGCCCAGTCCTGCCCCTACACAGGGCCTTAAGATTTCCTGCATTTCTTTCTTATATCCAGCTTCACTTATGTCCTCAATGAAATACAGGATAAGGATTCATGATTACTCATGAATCACACAATCAGATCATTCAGAAGACTTTTAGAAATGACTCCAATTTCCGAAATAGTTTTCTTTCTTTTTTTTTTTTTTTTTAGTTCTCACCTAAAGCAAAAAATTGAACTTGGCAAAAATTAAAAAGTCCTAACCCTCTTTCAAAACCTTCCCACCCTTTCTATTTTATGCTTCACAGGTGACCTGATCTCCAAGGTTTTCCTCTTGGCAGTTTCCTTCTATGCTTGAACCATTCATTACCGCTTTCCTGACCTTTACCCTCATTAAAACTTACCTGTTCCCTATCTGATTCTCTCAGCAGCTGGCTTTATTCCACGTGAACCTGGCTGTTAACAGATTTGGTTCCCTTACCAAATCCTCGATAATGTGTAAAATAGCTTTTGCTTTTTCTGGCTGCTCAGCATCATAATTCATTAATCCACTCAACACATGTGTCCAGATGACCCTTCGGTAGTGGCTCTATAGGGGAGAAGGGGGTGGGGGGATAGGACCATGATAAGATCACAGATGAGAAACTTTTTGTTCCCTGGGCCCTTTAGCACAGTTTCCGGTCATGCAACTCCTCATTATATGGTTCTGTTCTCCATAAATAATAATAATAATAGCTCTTGCTGCATGTGATTATTAATTGTAGTTATTTATTATGTTCCAGGTACTATAACTAGGGTTTAACAGATTCCTCATTTAAGGTTCAAACCAACTCTGTGATGTAGAAAGTTATTTTCATTGTACTGACAAGCAAATTGAAGTTCAGAGAGGTTAGGTTATTTGTCTAGTATCATACAGCTACTACACTGTAGAAATATGGTTCACGCTAAGGTCTGTCTGACTGAGGCTCATGTTCTTAATCCTACAGACTCCTGTTCTCTGATCAACCCAATAGAGCAGAAACAGAATGAGATTTCTCAGACAAGATCTGCTGTACCCACCTTGTACATAACCTTCCTAGTTCATCTAAGGATGAAAAAACTACCACCTAACTCATCCCTATCCTCACAGCTCTCACTTCTCTCACTTTTCTATGCTGAGAAAAAGCTGCTTCTGGCTTCTGCATACACAAGAATAAAAAGTATTTGTTATTTAATTACAAAGATTTATTATGGAATGGGAGGAGGCATACTAACCCATCCCATCTGGGGTCAATTAAAAAGAACTGTGTTCATGACTAAATGTGGTTTTTATTTTTTCAGGAAAAAAAAAAACAGTTTCAGCAACTCTTTGGCTCACAGGGCATGCTATGGTTTAATAGGAGTCGGGTGACTGAGACATCTTAGTGCTATTTCTGAAAATGAAAGATGGTTCATCACCTTTAATGAATGGAAAATAAAGTTTCCTGCAGTGTTGGTCCTGGCCAGGTGGATTTAAACCTGTACATAGATACGTTACCTTTTTTTTTTTTTTTTTTTAAAGACTATCCCCTTGAAATTCTCCTTTGGGGACAAAGAACAAGAAGACACAAAATTGCTGCTTTTAGGGTAAATGCATCAGTTTGCAAAAATTCACAGGGTTTCTCAGAGTGGCCACCCACAGAGGAGGCAACATCTGGTTGTCATGCTGTCCCAACAGGGGAGAGCAGCACTTGGGCACAGGGCAGAATAGAATGTGCCTCATAACTGGATGGATGGCATGTAGTGAGACTGTAGTCCGAGGCCACAGTCCTCCCTGTGTCCACACAATCTCTGAGTAGGGTATAGGAACCCAGGTGCTTCCATCCTCGTCTTGTGACACCCTGGCAATTTGGAAAAAGACTTACACATAAATGGGAAAATTATGCATCTCTGGAGAGATCATTGCATGTTGTCAGAACATAAGTAGGATAAATTAATATTTGTTATGAATAATAAGAAACATCTTCATCCTTGGAAATATATTTATCCAAGGATCTGATCTCCCTGAAAGACATTTTTCATTCATTCATTCTTCTAGTGTTTATCAGGTGTCCTTCATGTGCCGGGACCTGTGTTATGTGCTTGGGATACAAAAAAGAATGAGAGATCTACTGTCGTCCCAGGAGGCTTATAAACTGGTAGGAAAAAGTCATAGAATTAAGTAATTGTGGTTCATTATGCTTCCAGATGCCCTAAGGTGGGTCATCTAATGAGCCAACAGGAATTCATGGAAGCCTTTTGGAGGAGGTGTCACCTGAACTGGAACTTGTAGCAAGTGATGAGTTAGCCTCCAGAAATCAGTATTTGTGTAATATCCCTTTGCCATCAAAGGATCAAGAATGAAAGGACTAAGCAGATATTCTGTGAGAGTGTGTGTGTGTGTGTGTGTGTGTGTGTGTGTGTAAGTTTGGGAGGAGGGGTATTGCTACCATTTTGTATGTGTATGTACATTAGCAAATTGCTTAGCATTTCTAAGATCCAGTGCCTCATAGGCTGTTCAGACTCAGTGAGAAAACATGTGTAAAGCATTTGCTCAGGTCTTGGTGTATTTAAATGTTAAGAGATATCAACTTATCATTAATGCTGCTTTTATCATCAACAGTGTTCTTTCACTGACTACCCTTCTACACTCCATAAAACTCCTCTCCCTGATTTTTGACTGCATGGAAAAAAATAATGGGTGAGGGAAATAGAAAGCAAAGAAAATTTTAAAAATATTAGGTGTGATGGTAATTATCATCCTTTCATGAGTAGTAGGTAGAATAAAGAGAATAACTTCCAAAGAATAAGAACATGAAGCATTTCTATCCTATCATAGCCCTTTCCATCCCACTTGACTTTTGCTCAGAAGGGCAAAAGCTTCAGTGACGTGCAGTTATAAAATATAATTAAGACGACTTCTAGTTCTGCTAGTACTAGGCAATATAAACCCCTGCTGTTGGAAACCTGCTTTTGAAAGTACTAGTCGGGATAAATGAAATCCCCAGGGGCAAAAGAATGGGGTTATGAAACCAAGGGAGAAAGCCTGAAAGCAGATGCTGTGGCTACATATGTTGATGGGAGATGAAGCTATGGGTCTGGTGGAGGTGAAGATTTGGCACCGAAGCCCTTTAGTAAACGTGGAACCGCCAAAGGGCTATGTCTTCACTCAAAGGTGACTAGAAAAAATGCCCTGCATGCAGAAGATGACAAAGAAGACAGGACTACCTCACATGGGACATGGTCCTAAGTGCCTACAACTTCTCCCCAGAAATCAATATAAAAAATGAGCTCAGGTCAGTAATATTCCAGAAGCGGTAACTTTGGAGCACTTGTCAGAAGCAGTGACTCTAACAAACATTTTAAGATAAAATGCATTTTAGGAATAAAGATGGCCTAATCTAACAATTCGTTATCTAACATAAACAATTATCATTTGCATGTACTTAAAGACATGGTCTCAAATATATTAAAAGCAGAAATCTGTTGATTTATAAAGAGAAATGTAAAGGTCTATACATAGTTGGTTCTTAAAACTCTCTCTCTTAGTCACTGTTAGGTTTAAAAGTCAAAAACTATTAAAGAGATGAAAAGTTTGAACAACTGAGTTAGTAGTTTAAACTAGTCTACTCATATATAACCCAATCACTGATCACTTGATAGACCACAGAGGAAGTCTCACCAAATACCAAAACCCAGTAACATACAGGACATACTCTCCAAGCACACACTCCAATAAAAGGTGAACTTGAAAGGAAAACAATACTTGAAATTAGTCTCCACATTTGAAAATTAGAAGGGAAAACACTTGTATAGGGTTTTTGGTCATTGTAACAGGTTGGTGTAAATAATACTCCAAAATGAACAGACCTAAAAATCTCAATAGCTTAAAACAGTGAGGCTCACTTCTCATTCATACCACATTTCCGATATAATTCAGCTGGGAGCTCTGTTCCACATTTTCCTCATTCTGAGGCAGGCCTAAGCTTCCACCATCTGGCATGTTCCTGGGTGCAGGGGCAGGGAAGAGTCTGAGGCTCTTAACACTTTTCTGACCCAAAAGGGTAGATGTCACTTCTACTCGTATTGCCAAAATAGACTTCAAAAAGGTGAGGGAAGGCTAGTGGAGAGGCTAGTGGTAAGGATAGTGGTTTTTGGGAATAAGTTGAAGGGCAGGTCTCCCCAAGATGGCAAGAACATCTGCCTAATACGTTCAGAACAGGCCTCCCCCCAGATGTGCCACGTTGGTATGGGAATGATCTTGAAATGAGGTCAATTGATGACCTCAATTGAGAAATTTTACCACTCCCTTAACTACCTAGAAGAATGAAAATTGGGGGTATTACCCAGAATTAGGATTTTTACCACAAATAACTTTTCTATTAAAGAAATCTATATGATGGGCAAGTAGCTAACTATAGAATATCTGTTCTTTGTCATTTGAATACCCTGTCCTCATCATGTGAGTCCCCCTCCTTTTGCCTCAAAACCCAAGGCATCTATCCCATTTCTTAGCTCAGAATAAATACCCTCACTAACCTGTGTGAACTTTGTGTTTGTTTGTAATAATATATTATATATATATATATTCTTAGTATATATATATATATATATATATATATATATATATATATCTTCTTTGTCTGATATTAACTTGATTACTTGGCCAATCAGTTCTTAAAAAGAACCTTGAAGACTTGGGGGAAATTTCTTCTCTTCCCCTACAAAAAAAATTAGGAAAATTGGTCATTTATTTAGAAAAAGACCTTTTAAGTTCCTACCTCATGTCTTAATCCAAAGTAAATTCCAGATAAATTATTAACCTAATGTGAAAATTGAATTTATAAACCTTGTAGAAGAAAATACAGGAGAAATATTTTTATGATCTGGAGGAATTTAAAAAAATTCTTAGTGTTTTGATTTTTTGATGTCTAAACATGAGCAAGAATAGATGAAAAGACTGACAACTGTATTGCATTAAGATAAAAATAAAAGTTCTGGACACTTATAGTAATCACTGTGAGGATTAATAGATGAGAAGCAGTTAAACTGCATTGTGTTAATGGCATTAACTATTATATTTTCTTTTGTAAGGTATTTTCCTTAGAATAATTATAATACAGTTAGTTTAACCACATATTTTTTTTCTCTATAAGGCACACATCTAGATATGTAGAGAGTGATGTAGTTAAAGGAAGATAATATTATTTTCTGAAAAACTATGAAACTTGGCAATTATTTTAATACAGGCATCTCTTCGCTGGGAGCCAGTCTTTATTTGCATGAACTCTGTAGCTTGTGGTCTTTTCTTGGTAATGTTAACATGGGGCAAATTCCTCCTGGTGACATGTTTTGTGTGCCCAAGAATGCAGCTACTGGCGTCTCACAGGAATGTAAGTGTTGGCAGCCCCCCAACAGGTCTGGGGCTGCCCTCCTGCTGGGGACTGAACTGGCTAGGGTGGAAACCAAGACCCTCCTCTGTGCTCACTTTTCTCTCTTGCAGGCTACTGAAATAAACAAGTAAACTTGCATTTCTGCTTCTATGTTAAATTCATCAAAATATTGGTATAGCCAAAGGGAAACAGTTGTCGAAGCTCCAGAGGTCTTAGAGATTCATCATTAGACTGATTAACAATCATAAGATTCTGGGCTCCTACTGATCACCGAGAAGGGTGACCTTTTTTTCCTCTTTATTTTTAAGTCATTCCTTAAAATGATATTATTTCTGGCCCATTGGTCAAGTCTCTACAGTTTCAAAAGGCGTGCTCTCTAAAACCCAAGCTCTTCTGCATTACAAATAAACTGTTACCAGGCATCCCTTAAGTAGTAGCAAGAGCTGTTTTTGCTTCAATCCATAGCCCAGTTCAGAAGGTCAGACATGACCACAGTATCTCCTGTTATTTCAGGGCTCACATGTGTTTGCCTTGGCGTCATTTCTCTGGCATTTGGTTTCCGTTATTTTTCCATGGGTTTGGCTTGCAGGAATCAAAGAAGCATATTCTAAAAAAATAAGTGAAGTTCATAAAGATGAAGTATTCTAGACTGGTGGTGACTGGCCACAGTGGTAGGGAAGGCAGGTCTCCGGGTTTACGTTGAGTTGCCTGGTGCTGACCCTACATGGCACATGTGAGAAATGACCAGGGCGCAGGGTGTTCCACTCCACAAGATGGGCCCACACCCCCCTCCTGTTTCCCCAGCTGTGCACCAGCACAGCTCAGCTAAACACTCAGGATCGGGAGAACCTCCCTTGATGAAGCGTTTTCCACTGTTGTCAGTGGGAAGAAACTGTGATTGGCCCATTGCTATGAGTTGTTTGGGTTCCTCTGGGAGCTCTCTGCAGAGTATTGTCTGGGAAATAGGTATTCTCTCTGTATAAGAAGTGATTAAAATCAGTACCGTGGGGCTGAACGAGCACTAGAGGCCCGGGGGTTAGATTTTATCAGCTTGTAGGTGCCATGTGGTAGGAGACGTAGGTGGAATGGAGTGTTCCCAAGCTTGTCTGCACTTTGGGATCTACTGGAGAGTTTTAAAAACTCCCCAGACCTGTGTACCACCTCAAGAGTTTGTGATTTAATTGGTCTGCAGAGTCACCTGGACTTGGAGCATTTCAAAGATCCCCGGGTAATTGGGAACCACTGATGTGGTAGTTAAGAGCCCACACTTTGAAGTTGCACTGCCCTGGTTTGAATCCCGACCCCAGCATTTAATAACTGTGATTTTGACCAAGCCATGAAACCTTTCTGAGCCTCAGCTTTCTCATTTTTAATATGGGCAGAGTCTTTTCTTTCTTATGTGGTTGTTATGGAGAGTGAGTATAAACATAATACATTTTTAATACTAAAAATGCTGCATCAATAGCTAGAGATCCTGGGAACAGTGCAAGTGCTGCCCTTTCTTAGACCTCATGGGAGAGTCATTACTATGGGTTTTGAGTTGTATTTATCTGGATTTGGATCTTGGCTCTGCTGTGTGGCCAGGTTAATTGTCTTTACCGCTAAACCTTCATCCCCCTTGTTGATAAATGGGGATTTGTTTTCACCCTACAGGGTTGGTATGAGGAGTAAGTGCTTAGAATACACAGCATTTCGTTGAATAGTAAGAAATTAATCTTTTTGGTAGGTTAAAATGATAGGACTGGGCCTCCCTGGTAGAGCAAGGGGTTAAGTCTCAGCACTATGAAGCAATCTGCTACCACTGCAAAATGAGTTCCATCCCTGGCCAGGGAGTTAACCCACATGGTGCAGCAGACCTCTCCTGTCTCACAGGCTGCTCTCCACCCTGTGTCTGATGAATCCTCTCATCTTCTTCACACCTCTGGCCTACACCCCAACTCTTGTATGCATAAACAAATCTTTTTTAAAAAATGGTAGCACATTTGCTCAACTTAAAACAAAGTGTTCAAAATGTTAGTGGTAATAATGATGATTACTATTAATCAGTATGACATTGAGGGAATTATTTTATATCAGAAGGCTAGGTTTTAGACTCTATACAATGGACATATTAAGATTTTGCCTTTATTATAAACTTAAATGAGATGGTATTTGTGAAATCACTTCAAAAATTATAAAACATGAGGAAATCATGATCAATTAAAAATGATCTTGGAGATGGGGCGTCTCACGGGGCATCAATGGTAAGTATTCTGGGAAAGTTATAAGGGTCTGTCTGCACATTTGGAAACGTGGGAAGGGAATTGAGTCACACAGAAAATCCTTGATTTGGGGGATTCAGACAGGAAATCATTTTTCAAGCCTGCTCTAAGTTGAGCACCACTCAGGCGTCATGGAGAGAAGGGCAGTGAAGTGTCTCCAATCTCGGGCAAACACCTCCTGGTTGAGGAGATGTGGGCTTTCTGCATAGTAATGACTGTTACTTACCTAATGCTTACCTAACTTATCTACACAAATTCCTTACGTGCATTATCTGATTTCATCCTTAGTGAGGATCCCAACTTTGTGTAGAAGAGGGAATTATTTTCCCTATTTTTTACCAGTGAGGAAATGGAGGCAAAAAGAGATTGAATCCTATGTCCCAGTCACACAGTCATAAAAAAACATTTAAAAGATGATGATTGTGAGAAAATGAAAGTTCAAAAACCATGGCAAATTACAGCCAATAATAGAAAAACCTATCTAAAACTTGTCTGTGCTTTCCGAACTGTCACTTTTAATATGGCTTTTTAACTAGCCCATAAACACTTCTCATAGAAAATGTCTCATGGCTTATGCTGAGGGCTGCTTACCCATGGCTTTTGGTTCTTAGCCTCATTTCATCCTGCCACATTGGGTGGCCTGGGGTGGGAAAAAATAACTTCTCTATGTCTATAGTTTCTCCACCTATAACATGAGTCTAATAATGCCTCCTTTGAAATCAGCTTGTGGGGGCTAATTATCATAAAATCATTTTTTTGGTGCCTCTGATGCAGCCTGGAAACCCAAAGGGCCACCCAGACTTCAGCCCTGTGGTAAAATCGTGGCTTCCCTTGGACAGAGACAAGAGTATTGCTTCTTGGTGGGCTTCCAAATGCTCTTGCTGTCTGCTCTTTGTATAGGGCCGTGCTGGGGCTCTTTATTCACATGTAGCATTACTTGGAGTAAGTGACTATAATACCCTGCAGTCAAGGAGTAAGTGATACCATTTATTATAAAGTTACTTGGGAAACATTTTCAACTAATAAGGATCACTAAGGCAGTGGTGATGTCACTTGATATGCTCATGGTCCAAGAGGGAGATTACTGTTCCATGGAGGAAAAACTTACAAAGGATTGACTTTCTCTCAGGACAGAGACAGTGGCTCTGTGGATTCTAGAGTTTGTCTTTCTAGAGCTTGGTCTAGAGTTTAGCAACATAGGAGTTTGTCAGAAAGGCCAGATTGGAGGCCCCACTTCAGGACTGCTGAAGCAGATTCTGTGTTCTAGTAAAATCCACTGGTGGCTGGAAGGCCCCTTATAGCCTCAGAAGTAGCACTTTGCTTTGAACTACAGCAGTGACAGCACAGTGTGTGATGAAGCTGGGGATCCAATTGAGGTCTGTCAGACTTCCAAGCCCAGGTTCTGTCCTCCCTGCCTTTTACAGGTGCTGCAGCCTGGACTGACTTGTTGCTGAAATGCAATCTGCCCTTCTGATAACAAAGCCTTTCCATGGCTGTGACTATGGGGCACCCCTCGGTTCAGGAGACTTCTAGATGAGAGCAGTTTTTACGGAAGTGTGTATAATCTTGTTATTTTTGATATGTTGCCTTTATTTGTCCAAATACTCAGGATATTTCCTAACTTGAAAGAAAGTGAGAGGGCGAGGACAGAGTAGAGAGAGAAAAGAGAAATGGAAGAAGAGGAGAAAGAAAAGAAAAAGGAATCATTTGAGGAAAACCAATGCTTATTTTAACAGGACTGCAGTTATCCTGTAGTTTATCTTGTTGGTGGGATAAACACATTTTTGTTCTTTTTTTTAGGGCTAATGTTTTATTTCAGAAATGTTTTTAGATGATCAGTGATTGAATAGCCCCCAAACAATTAATTCCTTTTTTTCTCTTCCCTTTGAACTTCTTTATTTTTAGAGACTCTTAAAATGACCTAACCAGGATGAAGTATCTAGTAAATCCGAAGATTATCAAACAACTTGGTTTTGACTGTCATGCTCATGAAGCTGCACATAACACTCACTTTTAAGATAATTTGTACTATACCCAGAATGGTCTTTGAAAACTGCAAATTTGAACTGATGAAGTCCTCGCTGTGGGCATTTGCTCATCAATCATGTTACCATACAAAGGCTAACAACAAGGTATCATGTCCCACCTGCTAGAAGCACACAATATTACCCAGGAGATGTCCTTAATATAAGGTAGAAGCTGAATCTTGTCAAGATTCTATATCTACGGGGAGGGAAGAGCACAAGGGACTATGATGATGGTTCATGGGTGATGTGGTAGTGGGAGATTTATGGAGACTACACCTGAGGGGAGAAATCAAATATGGTACAAAAATGAACAGCAATGTAAGAAAATAAAAAAGTTGATTAAAAGAAAAAAAAAGCATTAGGAAAAGAAGATTCTCTATCTAATTTCCAATGTACAACTAATACAGGAGTCATTTAACCATCACCTCTGTCTTTTGGCCTCCCATGTCACTTTGTCTTAGAATCCAGCTGCCATGCTAGTCCCCGGGCAAGCTGTGTGAAGGCACTTGGGTTGACAGCTCCAGCTGAGTTCCCAGCTGATAGTTGTCATTAGCTGTCAGCATGTGAATGGGCAAAGCTGGACACCCAGCTGACGTATGAGCACAACTTCAGGAGAGACCCCAATAAGAAGCACCCCAGTGGGTTGATCCCAGTCAACCCATATAGATAGTAACAACTGTTTTGAGGCACCAAGTTGTGAGATGATTTGTTCAATAGTGTTATGAACTGAATGTATTTTCAAATTCCAAATTCAAATGTCAAAGTCCTGATCTACAATGTGATGGTATTAGGAGATGGGGTTGTTAGGTGGGAATTGGACCCTCATGATGGGATTAGTGTCCTTATAAGAGGAAGAAAGACCAGAAGGCGCTTGCCCGCCTCCTCTCTCCCATGGGAAAATACAGTGAGAAAGTGACTGTTTGCAGGCAAGAAACTGAATTATCACCATGAACCAAATCCCCACACCATGACCTTGGACATCACAGTCTCTGCAACTGTAAGAAAGAAAGATCTATTGAAGTCACTTGGACTTAAATAGTATTTTGCTATGGACTATGGTATTTTGCTATAGCAGCCTGAGCTAAGACAATAGTCAGCTCAGTATACAGTGCCCCATTGTCTGTGGAAAAGGAGGCATAGTGAGGAGACTTAGGATGCAGATTCCAGGTTATGGATTTGGGAGAGTATCTGAATGATGATTTCTTCAACTAGGGAGAATGGGAAGATGGGAGGGCCAGAAGACATAAATGTCTTTCATAATTATCTTCATTATATTTATTTTAGGAAATTGGCAAAAAAGTTAAATTCACTGCATAATTATTTGTCTATAGAGTTGAAATGGAAAGAGTGAAATGAACGTGGAGACATCCAGAGGAATGATTTGGCTCTCTGGCTGTGCTATGGCCTATTTATTCATTCATTCTAAACATTACTTGTAATCTTACCACACAGAGCTAACCTCTCATTATTTATTGTTGCTCCCCCATCTCCCAGTGTTATTTGTTCTTTGTTCTTTACAAAATTACTAGGAAAAGTCCCTCCCCTCCCCCAAATCACTTGAAACATACCAGTCTGGCAACTTTATTGGCGAAGATTTAACTCAAGCTCTTAGACCAAAAATATCCAACATGAATCTCTAGCTGCAATTCTGGCTTCTTCTGCAAAAGAAGTAAACAGCAATGTTGGGAATGATTTGTTTTGGAAAAACAGCTTATTGTTTCACTAGCCCTAAATCTTCAGGGAAATCCTGGACAATCATCCCTGTGACAGAATTCCTGGCCTGTGACACAGGGGCAGTTGAGGTTATGCTTTTAATTCTCTCAAGAAACAAAATTCACTGAATAATTATCTGTCCATAGAGTTGAAAGAGTAAAATGAACATGGAGACATCCAGAGGAATGATAGAACTTTCTGGTGGTGCGATGGCCTATTTATTCATTCTTTTATTCTTGAGGAAATATCTGTTGAATACCCACCTTGTCTCAGGTACTGGGGTAAATGCTAGAGACCCAATGGTAAGCAAAACAGTCATTAATCCCCCAGTGAGGGAGACAAATCACTAAGCAAATGGTTCCACGTGTGCATACATAAATACTATGTTGCAAAAGTCCATCAATAAGCTGCTATTAAATGCCTACTGTGTCCCCAAACTTGTGCTTAGTGCTGCGAGAGTGAGTGCAGGCTAACCCGGCTTTCATCTTCAGCACCATCACCAGCCTACTGGAGGAGCCTGTGCTCTCTGCAGTGATGAAGACCACATGTGCTCACTGTGCAGTGCACATTTGATAGGACAGGAGATTAAAAAAGAAGTCAGTTTTGGAGCAAGCAATTTTTACATTGGAAAAGTAATGCATGGTAAAACACATTCAAATAGTAACATTAATAGGAAATTGTCTTATCCCAACCTTTAGATAGAAGAGGTGTTCACAGTTTTTTGTGTATTCTATGAAATCTTCATGCATTCTTTTTTTTTTTTTTTTTTTT